ATCAGTAAACCGATCCATAGAGACGGACCTAATTTTAAGACGAGAATGGTGGGATCGCGTCCATAAATAGCCGATCAGTAAACCGATCCATATAGACAGACCTAGTTTTAAAACAAGAATGGTGGGATTGCGTCCATGAATAATCTATCAGTAAACCGATCCATAGAGATGGACCTAATTTTAAAACGAGAATGGTGGGATCGCGTCCATAAATAGGCGATCAGTAAACTGATCCATATAGACAGGCCTAGTTTTAAAACAAGAATGGTGGGATTGCGTCCATGAATAATCTATCAGTAAACCAATCCATAGAGACGGACCTAATTTTAAGACGAGAATGGTGGGAACGATTCCATGATTAAGCTTTTAGTAAACTCATTGATACAATCAGACAATTCTTAGATGAGAATGGTGGAATTGCGTCCATAAATAGCCAATCAGTAAGTCGATCCATATAGTCAGACCTAATTTTAAAACAAGAATGGTGGGATCGCGTCCATGAATAGCCTATCAGTAAGTTGATCCATGTAGATGGACCTTATTTTAAGACGAGAATGATGGGATCGCGTCCATGAATAGTCGATCAGAAAACCGATCCATAGAGACAGACCTAATTTTAAGACAAGAATGGTGGGATTGCATCCATGAATAGCCAATCAGTAAACCGATACATATACACGGACCTAATTTTAAGACGAGAATGGTGGGAACGAGTCCACAGGCATTTAGTAAACCCATCAATAAAGTGGGACCTAAATTTAAGACAAGAATGGTGGGACTGAGGTCATGAATAGGCATTTAGTAAGATGATCAATATTGTGGAACCTAATTCTAAGATGAAACGGGTGGGATCGAGTCCACGAATAAGTTTTTAGTAAACAGATTGATAAAGTCAGACCTAATTTTGAGAGAATGGCAGTATTGAGTCCATATGATAAAGATGAGGATAGGTAGCACTGCACTGCTGGGAGCACCACATTGGTCAGTTCAGTTCCAGCCACCAAGCCATTCCATGAACTGTGCACCATAATTATCTAGTAGGGCAGTTCAACACGTTTTTCTTTTTTTCTGTAAGATCATTTTTAAACCAGCATATCAACAACCCTCTACATAATGAAACCACACTGTCCGTAGCTAGCACAGTCCTGTTCTTGAAACTCCCAGGTTTTTCATCTAGACTCTTCAAACTAATCTGAAAGTGAGCAAATAAAATACATATAATGTGTTATTGGTATACACGATACTTTTGAAGTGAATAATTCTCAAATAAATATTAAAATCCAATTTCATATAGTCTCTAAGGTTCTTATACATAATGTAAACAATTTCGCCTTTTTTAAAAGTCAACTGTTGTGTGTGTTTTAGCTATTTTTGGGAAAAGTAAATTATAATAATCTTCATTGACTTCAACAGTTGCAGATAGATAACGCACACACCTCAATCTCTGTAACAGGTTCAGGGTTAATGTTGCCCCCTTTGGGACATCACATCTATGATAACATATAATGGAAGTTTACTTCTTTCTTGCCCTGAAATAGTGTGTTGATTTCTGATTTGATAATGGTATGATGGTACTGCATTCATAGATATCATACATGCTAAAAGGCCAGATAAAATCACTCATTAAAATGGCTAAGTATCAGTGTCTAACTATTGATAGAAAACAGCAATAGCTGGACTACGATACTTTTCATAGCCCCGACTTACACATATCTAGATCTCAAACTTTTGCTAGTATGCCAAGCCCTCCCCCAAGGATCAGCAAAAGAAATATTACATGATAAATATAGAAAGGGACATTGTTAACAGATATAAACTTAATATCTAAAATAAGCTTACATAAAGGATTTTCCCTACTGCACTCTAAGAACAAAAGTTGACCCCCTCCACGAGAAGCAACTCTAGAGTATGGTTACAAAAGTGTTTCAAACGCAATAAAATTACATTGCTCAAAATACTCTACCCCTTTACATCTTTAAATCATGTTTTCCAGGCCCGTAGCCAGCAATTTCAAAAGGGGGGTTCTTTTTCTGAAAAAGTGGACCTTTTCCCATAAAAACTTCATGTACCTAGGTCAAAGTTTACCCAGAGTGGACCTTTTCCCAGCAAAAGGGGCGATTCTTTCGAACCCCCCGACCCCCCCCCCCCGGCTACGGGCCTGTTTACTTATTTATTCTTGGCCTCGTACAGCTAATTTAGCTTCCATTCATAAAGTTATGTGAAATTTAATGTCCTCATTTGTTGTACAATCGCCATTTAATCACCTCTTTCTCATCATTTTACGGTAAAAATTTCTTTTGAAGGAACTCCGTCTCGCATAAAAGTACCTCACTCAATGTGATGCCACACCTGCATCTGTGATTTGCAGGATGCAATACGATGCTATACTAGAGTTTTAGCCTTGAGTTCCAATGGCGGGCTTCTTCCTCCTGTCCTTTTGCCCATGTGGCACAGGTGCGTCCTGATTGGCTGGTCCTACACTCCAATTTCTGATTGGCCAAATGTCTACAGTAACGATAGCACTTAACCAATGAAAAGCCGTAAATCGTAGACTTTACGGTAGACTCGACGTCTACAAAAAATTAAGCATTAGCAATGGAAATGCAATAATAATAATAATAATAATAATAATAATAATAATAATAATAATAATAATAATAAACTTGACGTAACTAAAAACATATCTAGAGATCATCTTTAGCGAAAAGTAGTCTTTATATTTCCTTTTGATACCAGGGAATAATAAAATGCATAATTTAAAATTAAAAGCGTAACAACCAGAAACATTCATCAATATTATAATCAAAATTAAGAATTATCTTCGTAAAATATGTGGAGTTCATCTATGTGGCCTTAAATTGTTTTGTTAAATTTATAAACATAGCTAAATAATAATTGTTTCTTTTTCTCTTAGCTATTATGGCAGCGAGCAGCAAGGTAACGTAGTGAGGTCACAGCTCTTATACAGGCATACTTACCTGGCACAGAAGTTAACCGTGATCATTAAGGCGGTTCTTCATTAGCGAGGCCTCACCATTGCACTATACGGTTTGGCTGACCTGATCGATTACCCCAAATAGGGGTAACTCGGGTGCGTAATTTTTTATCGTGGGGGACTGCGTTCGCGCTATCCCCTGAAATCAAATTAAATGTAATATCTCCAAGATTAGTCTCTAATACCTCCTCTATGCGTGCCAAACCTTAAAGGGATAATAACTCATCATTTCGGCCAAAAAATGAATTTTCCTGGAGTAAGCAACAATTTTCCCGTACTTACCAATGGTTAATGAATCCATTTTTACGTTCAAAGTTAGTCCCTGTTTTTTTTTCTAAAAAGTTTGGTTTTTTTTTTTTAATCTCTTAAGAGATTTTAACAGAGTATAGCCATCAATGGAGGTCACGTGGTCTAAAGACAAGCTCAGATATCAGAATAATAGCTATAACTGCCGTTTTTGTGGTAAAACAGAATATATTATATTTCTTTGAGTTATTCACAATGTTTTTATTGTGAAATATAGATCTCATACAAAGAGTTATTATCCCTTTAAACTTGTTGGCACTCTGATAAGGATGGGATGGAGTTTTCTTGTCACGTGTAGCCTCGACAAAAATATTAACGCATGCCACTTACATGTATCGACTCTTTCACAAGGGTCCCTGATGTCCGTTACAAAATTTGATGACTTATTTTGTTATCTGATTTTGTTACAAACCAGACCTCTTATCTCCTTGAGTGTACAGCAGAGTTTATGAACTTAAAGTTTTTTAAAAGCTTTTTTTTTTAAATTTTATTACAGCTCCATTAGAGAATACAACTCGAAATCATTAGGCCTGAAGGTACAAGGGTTCTAAATCTGGTGGAGTATTGTTCATAACTTACCAGAGATGCGAAACATTTTTTAAAAGGCACTTTAATTATCATAATTGGTCAACACTTTTCTGTTATTTCATTTATTTTTATTGACAAATTAAGAGGAATTATTGCCATGCCTAGATAAGTGCTCTAATTTTTTATAGGTTTATTAGTTTGTTAAATGATAATGATCCAAGTCTTTTTTCAAACAGAAAAAACTTTTTTCTTAGGTTATGCCCTCAAAATTCTAACTGGCAATAAATGTGCCATTTTCAAATTGATTACCACCAACCTTTATAAAATTAAGAAAACAAAATCATATTATTTATTCATTTGTGTGCAACTTGGACACATTTCACATACTTTATGAAATTCTCCCCCCCCCCTTTTTATTTTGACTGTAAAAAGCACCCGCATTGTCTTAAATGTTTCATATCTGAGTGTTGAATGAAAAAGTTTTTATGAAATGCCATTTTCATATTGCAAAATATATGTAACAACACCTCATAAGCACAATTTTTAAAAACTTATTTTATTACATACATAAATGTAATTACAATACATACAGTGCATATCAAATACAAATATTTACAATGTAAAAGTTACACATATACTGTGTATAAATCCAAGTAGCTAAATCACAAAACAGTGACAACTAAAACATAACTAAAACTTTCTCATGGTGAATAATTTAAAAATTCTTAAAAACCTGAAACATGGCAGACATATAATACACAGCTGTTTGAGCTGTAAGTAAGAAAAAATTCATCCACACTTTTTCCATAATTGGCCTTCATAATTTTGTACTGCAATTTATCCCCATATGTAAACTTCACATGCATGTGTGCCTTTTATGATGGGAAATTCATCACAACTTCATATTATAACAATAAAAAGATGAAACTAATTAGAACAACTTTCCATACTGTAAAAAAAGGTGGAAAAAGGTCCTTCTTGAATTAAAATCTGATCAAGGCCTTTTCTCTATCAATCTATGCCCTTTCTCAAGTTGGATTAATTAAGGTCCAAATGTCCAGAAATTTTGACTACAGGCCTATAATTCTCACTTGCATGACTGAGCAGGCCAGACCATGACCCCTGCTTTACAATACATAAACTCAACATATCACATTAAAAAGTGAATAGAGATATATAATTATAAGAAATACTTACAGCATTAAACACAAATTTGTTAACATCAAGAGATTCTATAGAACATGTTAAAACTTATATGTACTGATGAGCACTGTACATTAGCTCCCATTACACGAGCAACACAACTTCAGCAAACACCCAGCTGCAATGCTTTCAGAGTGAACTGTTTTACAGTGAGCAAACTCATAACACCCGCCTCAGATTTTATATCACGAGAAACACTTTTGAAGCCATGACCTAAATCCGATGTCTACATTTTTTGGGTGAGTAAAACAATGTGTTTTCATAGCACAACAAACAATTTTTTCACTATGTAGGTTACTGCTCGTCTGATTTGCATTCATCTCAGACCCCTCTGTCACCTTTATTTTAGTACAAGTATCATGTCATTGTAGACTCATGCAGGTTTCACTTTTATCTCAGATCCAATCTATCACTTCGGACACAAGAGGTACCACTGTCAATATAGTCTGACAGTCCATCCAATTTTAGGTCCAAAGAGATTCCACATCAATAATTTAAGATATTCCTCGGTAAAACCCAATATCCTGGACTGAGGGCGTTGACGTTCCTCAACTTGGTTGTATTTTGAGCTCTCTGACATCTTTAATTTGACAATAGGTCAAGCCTGTAATTAAAAAGTACAGATCTATAAATAGAATATAATAGTTGCAGACCATTATTCAAAAGGTTTCATATGACAGTTAAATGATCCTTTTTTTTAATCATTACTAATTTTAGATTGTTAAATCTGTAAATGGAGGTTTATACAATACAAAGCTCATGGTTATTTCTAAATCTGTTAAGTGTAAGAATTTTCAAAGGAAACCACGATAATATTGAGAAACTTAATTAACCACTGGACCAGATAATGAGAGAAAATGCTTGTAGTGACACTGTCATCATAAGAAATATACAAACTCACATAGGGAGAAACAAAAAGTGGTGCCCTTCTTCTAATCCTCCTCAGTTACCTCTGACACCTGTCGTTTGGGGACAGTTTGAAACACCAGGTGTTCCTGGATGAGATGAAACCTGAAATATAAACAGTAATTAAATCAATGAAAGTCTGAAGTGAATACTTTAATGCCACCATATAAACCACATCAAACAGAGTAGATTCTTTTAACTAAAATGAATGACATAATCTAACATATTAATCTAATTTCACCCAATAGGTGAGCAAAGAGTATTTGTGAAAACATCAAACAATCAACTACAAAAAAAAAAAAAAAAAAAAGGATATTATGTCATTTTTTACGAATGGTGTTCTTCCACTCAATTTCAATTTTCAATTACTTAAACATAAACTTAAGCAAGCTGGTAAAAAATATATATATTCAAATAAAAACAAACAAACAAACAAATAAATAAAAACTTACTTTTGTAAATACAGCCACACAACAGAAGAGATGAGATCTATCAGCACCAGTGCAGCCACAAATACAATGAGGAGGTGACACGTGTTGACCACTATAGTGTGCAGAGCATTCAGGAATGGCCTTAAACTGGATGCCAACTGGGCCTCGGTCACTCTGGAGACTGGCCTGAGGAACGAAAACAACAAGACAATGATATATTATTCACTGTGAATGACAACTGGTGTCAACATCATGTTTGGTCTGATAAAGGTTTAGTTTATGCCTGTAAAAAAGGGAGTAAGCAGCACGTCAAATGCTTTATGAAATGCATCTTTGTTACCAATATGGTGAAAGATCTATTATCAACTGAATATTTGTGACAAAAGCCCCAAATCTTATGTCTTCTTCCTGAAGTAATAATAACTAACAATGTGTAGTTACTAGTGCTAGTTCAAAATCATTCTTAACAATAACAGCCTACCTCTTCCCCATTTCCACATTCACCAGTCCAATGTCACAAGGTATAAATGCAGCACCTGTCTGATAACTAGCTGTCTGACAACTCCCAAGGTCCATTGACCCTTGACCTGCGACCCCTGACCTTTGACCTCCAATACAATAATCTTTGAGATGGTCTGCCCCCTGTTGGCAGGCCATGCCCTCCATAAGTTGTAGAATTATCTGATACTGTTCAATATGTGCCGAGGTGATCTTTTCGTATGATGGGAGCTCTACTGTATTGAGACGATGGGCTTGGGCGCGAAGTTGTGTCATGGCGGTGGCTCTTACTGATGAGATTGGTAACGTCTGAAAAAGCAAAGAAAAAAACTGCAATTACCACTTCTTTTCAGTTGGCAATGTCTGAATAAAAAATCATAGTAGAAATTTGATAACAGATTATTTTTGTGAAGTATAACAGATAATGGTATTGGTTCTGCTTATAAATGAAGCTTATTTTTTACTCTAGATTGGAACAGAGGAAAAATCAAATCCAAGACTCTGAATTAATATTGGTGTGTAGATTATCAAACAAAATATTGCTGATATAAATGTCTCAAGTGGCAAGTGCTCATATCACATTTCAAATCACCTACATGGAGTACAAACCACACATTCAAACTAACAGTGAACAGCTACATGGAGTACTTACTAGAGCCTTGAAGTATCCCAGCGAAGACAAGGTACTGGCAGTTATCAGCACTTGGGAGGAGGCCAGGAGGAAATAGATCAGGGCACACACCAAACCCACTCCCACTAGCTTGGGGACAAACTCTGTCTTCATCAGCTGAAATGATGGGATTTTACCATCTGATCAATCCATTTTTAACCCATAATTTTTGTCAACATACTTGGAAGAGATCAGATGTTTTAGTCAATCATCTGGGTGACTCATACTCATTGTCAATGCCCATATTTCAAGACAGGTACATCATAACACAACGTGGGAACCCAAACTACAGTGAATATATAAATACGTTCATAATGATACACATAACAAATATGAGTCAATGGGGTTAATGTGAAATGTGTGAATACAAATCATGAGTTGATCATGTAGTATACACTAGTTGCTGTTGGTGGTCTGTTGAACTTAATTATACATTTATTTATGGTGTGTGTCAGAGAGACAGGGCCTACATACGCAGTCACTTCTGGGCCTTGTCTGTTGTTTTTGAAATTTACCATGTTGAAAAGTTAAGTCTTATTTACCCTTATGTTATACTCCATGGCTGCCCCACAGCAACTGGGCTTAGAGACCTCATCCTCGTGTTCTGTACAGTCTATATAATGTGGTGTGCCATACATCAGTCTGTGTGCCGTCACGTATGTTCGTGCCACACGATGAATCAGCCAAACACAGTCGATTATCAGTACCAGGACTAGGAATGTTGTCCAATTAATGATTTCTCCTTGGCTCTCTAGTTTCCATCTTTGTTCTTGTGTTGTGGAATTTTTCTTTGAGTTTGTGGTTACATTTGGGCTGTGAACGAACCAGATGTTTTTTGGGACTGTCACCTCTTGGATGTTTGCAATGGAGGATTGTACTGTGGTGGCATCTATAATTGGAGCTCTGAAGTCCTGAAGGTTTGGCAGTGGCATTTCTGGCAAGGTAAGGTCTAAGAAAAAGACAATGATAATAAATTTATACTGTTTTTACTGAAGCTGGAATACACAGCACTGACCCACAATATATTTTTAAAATAAGACCAAATTTATTACGCTTCTTTAAAAGCCAAGTACAGAAATACACAAGGTATGCTTGGAAAAATATATACGTATTCAACCTTTACCAGAATAATCTAAACAGACGAGAAAAAAATGTCCACCTACTTGCTTCCAGCATTTGTAATCTCTCTTTAAATCCCAACCAATCAGAAAAGGTTCTGGTAGTCACTCCATTTAGAGTCCTCTTTTCTTTAACAGCGTCGTAAATTTTTGAAGCACCTGTCAGCCATTCAATGGACAGTAAATTCTCTTCTGTTTTCTTCATATCAAACAAAAGCCTGGAGACAGTGTTGCTCACATAGCTGTTATATGCAGCCCTATGATTCAGAAAAAAATAAACATTACAATGAATATAATGGTTAAGTTATTTGTATGATGTTTCTCTATTTAAAAAGTTATAAATAAATCATGCAAAAATGGACAATGCTACCCTCCATCACTGAAATATCTATTTTATAACATTTATGTCAAATATATGACTTTATTTGTTTTCTTTCTTCTATATTAAAAAATAAAATAAATCAGCCAAAAAGAGAAAATTCCCTTCATCATACAAAATGTAAACAAAAACAGGGAAAAAGTCTCAAAGTCCTCCTCAACCTTGCGATATTTAAAGATAATACAAACTGTACGAGAAAAAAAAAAAACACATTACAATGAGGATATTTCGTCTTCCTACCTAGACCTAGTCACAGTGGCAGTGAACTCCTCCATAGCTTTATGGGCATACTGATACATAGCTTGGCTCACTCTTTGACTTGTTAACTGCTGCAGCTGCTGGGCATTCAGCTGCTCTTGTGCCTAGGTTAAACGAATAAAAAACACCTGGTTATCAGTCACATTTATTACAAAAATAATTAACCCCAGCTTTAAAAATACATGGATGTAATTAGAGAATGCTTAAAAAGGGATAAGGTAACCCACTCCCTCTCCAGAATCTCACCCCTTTTTTATCTTATCATATACACCCAGCAACTTTATAAACCCCTCTTTCACAAACAGAAAGTAGAAAATGTTCTAAAAAATGATCTTATCCTTGAAAACAGGAGGTGGGGATGAAACAACCACCACCACCACCACCACCACCACCATACAAAAATAAAAAAGAAAAGAAAAGAAATCCACCCCCTCCAACCTTGATCATCTTGTCCTGCATGGCCTGTATGTGTGCCTGACACTTAGTCCTGGTCTGGTTGAAACTGACCATTTGTTTGTCCAGCTCCTTAATTAAGTACTGGTTGACCTCCTGGGCCTCCAGTTGCTGCAGAGACTGGACAGTGACCAGGAAACTGGGGTACTGCCTCAGAGTATGTAATGGACCACTGGAAGTGAACAATCAAGACAATATATTACGAAAGATACAGTATTCTTTTTTTGCTGTTGTTGTTGAAACAGTTATAATCAGGTATGAAACTGCCATTTAGTGAAAAAAATCTAAAAATATGGTGTGATATCTGCTGATAGTCAGAAGCGCTTCATTATTGAACAATGTTGATGATGATATTGTCAAAGGAACTTTTGCCTTTTTTGTTATGAGATAGAGTAGTTCCAGATGATCAAGACTGCATGTCTGTGTATAATTGTGTGGGCAACCATTTTTGCAATCTTGTTGTTAAGTTTTTTTTTTTCTGAACTCAGTGATACTAAGTTCCAGAGAAAAAGTGTGTGTGTGTGTGTGAGAGAGAGAGAGAGAGAGAGAGAGAGAGAGAGAGAGAGAGAGAGAGAGAAAGAGTTTTCTCACCTGTTTAGATAAATCCACACAAACAAAAAGACGGTACAGGTGACAGCCAGAGAATAGGCTGTCCTGAACACCACATACATCACTGTCATCATCAAGTGACTGGTGTGGAAACGGCTGTCCACATCTATCCCTTTACCATCTGCCAGAGATAAATATCAACTTCTTAATAGCATTCTTGTGATTTTCATAACATGTGACTTAAATTCTACACAAACCTCTCAATTCTTATCCTGTCGTATGTCACAGACTTTCAATTGTAACTCACTGTGGTTTAAAATGACATAAAAACATACTTTTCTGTAATACTAAATAAATAAACTTGAACTTAATTATTAGAAGGACACATTTTATTTTATTTTCTAAACAAATATCAGAATAATCAACCAGATTACCGCCATACCTGACAGACAAGAGCCTAGGACAAGAAGCAGCAGCAAGAAACCAATCACTGCACCAAGGCCAATCACGAGTGATTTGGACAACTCTGCAGTGGCGCCATCTTTAGCATTTTCAGCTTCGATCATTGGCTTTGTCTTTAATGCTGCAATTAAGAAATGAAAATGCTAAATATACATTGCTTCATTCTTACACGTTTCCCCTTATCAATATTACAGGAACCCATTGATCTATTTTGAAAATTTCACCAAAAGATGTTCAGCTATTATTGAGTCAAACAATAAAAAAAAGAGACAACAAAGACAGAAACTCAGCTTCCTTTGTGGAGGTAATTATTTCTAACAATAAAATCCTACCTTGTATCTGAGCCTGCACTGGATGTACACCTGCCCAGTGAAGACGGAAGGCAACCTTGTTGTTGATGCCACTGATCTCGACTGTAACGCTCTTACTCATGAGAGCAGATGACCCTGTTGCCACAGGGAGGAGAACCTTGAAGGCCTCGTGATCCGTCTGACCAATGTCCATGTTAAAGAGAGGAGCATCAGGGTAATCATCTTCGTGTACTTTGATGGTGAAGAAACCTGTAAGGTGTTTACATGAATTAACAGAAAATGTTTCTTGAAATGATAAATTCTGTCATTTTTTGCATCTGTTGAAAATTAAATTCATATCAATCTTTTTTTGCACAGTCTACTGTATAAAATATGAAATTCTTCAATTATTTCAATACAATGCTACATTTAAACAATTTGCCAAGCATATTATAACAGGCTTGGTGGTGTTTTCACTAGTAGTTATTTTCCACTAACCAGGAGCACGCTTCATTCTTCCTTCTGCATGAATCAGCCAGTGAGTCGCATTTCTATCAAGCCTTGCTCTCAAACTTGTATCGTCCATAATCTCAACCCTTGGGAAAAACAGGGCCATCACACTGGTGTTTTGAGGCAGCTCAAAAAAAATATATGGCTGAGCGGTGGTGTTGTGGAGTCGATAGCGATAACGTTGTCCTTCGATGAAGCTGGCGCTGATGTCACTGAGAGGTCTGTATGTGATTGGCTCTCCTGGGATGAAGTCATCCAATGCGGTCATGTCGCAGGATTTCTGACCTGAAAGAGATAAAATTACATTTTGAGTGAGGATTATATGCTTGGTTGAAAAGCAAAAGTGCTGACAAGTGATGGTAATAAAAAAGATGTGAATCCTGCTTAAAAAATCAGAATGTTCAGATGAGAGCCAGAGATCATCTGAACGTAGCTACCGATTGCTTGTTCTAAGATATGCACTCAAATGTTACAGCACTTGCATTTTAACATATAAAGTACTCACTCCATGTTTTGGTGCTGATACCCCAGGGGAATTTTGGCCGCACCCTTAACCTCTGGGTACTGGTCAATGGTCCATGTAGAGGTCGGCCCTCTGGCTGGTACTTGCTGACCGTAAACAGTCCTTGTCGGCTGTTGCCATGGAGAACTTGGGGCTGGACAGCAAACCCAGTACTGTAGTGGACATTAAGCAGGGGGTGGCTGGAATAAAATAGAAGAGGTCAACTTAAGATGTGAGATTGGACTAAAACTATAATACCTATCCTGCTGTTTTTAAGAGATTCCACACACAGACAGCTGACATCACTAATTTAAATGATTATTTGAAAATACACTTGACAACAAAGTAGCCATTAATTTTATGTTATTCATACACATTTGCACCATTGGATGACATGATTAATTGTACATTTTCCATCCAAAAATTCTTTGACCCCCCCCCCCCCCCCCCCTCAACTATAGGACTGAGTACAATCATATATACTTACACATCTACCGTATTCCACAAATCCCCCTCAGTATTAATTCTCTTCTTGGCTCTAAACACTCTGTCCAGTAAGACCTTTCCGCCCTGCACCACAGAGTACTGAATATCGTACAGGTAATCTGGGGCCGGCTCAATGTGACACAGAAAGTCCTCTGCTCGGCTGGAGAAAGTTGGCGACAAGACAAGCTCTGCCACATTGCCTTTCAGACATCTAAAACATAGTAAGTATTTTAATCATCATTCTCAAATAATTCTCATTGATTTAATCTAAGATTTCAGAATAATTTCATAGTTGTGCCTATACATATTGCCCTTCATAATTGTATAAATTTAAGGAAAACAGTTTCAAGTGAGTATATGTGTTTGTGCAAGTATATGCATGCATAAGTGTGTGTGTGTGTGTGTGTGTGTACACAAGATTGAAAGTTTTATTGCACATCAACACATACTTGACCGGCTGGCAATCGCTATCAGAATGGCTGCTACAAGTCTGCGCACAATTTTCTTTCAGGCAGCAGTTCTGGCAATGGCGGAGGCGCGGGGACCAGCCATCATCTGGATCCTCCCCAGTGATTCGGCATTTTTCTGGTGCTTTCATCTTCAGGTCTTCTGCACATTTATTGATGCAGGATTGGCAGGATGCCCTCTGAGTGGCACACCTAATTTGAATTTTATTTCAAATTAAAAAAAAATTATAATCAAACATCTTGAACAAGTATGCAGACTAAACTAGAACCATGTTCTCTATATAGTCTCAATTTTTTAAAGTTTATGCTTACAACACTGACAGAATGTGATAAACAATTCCCCTCTTGACTAACACAATGGTCAGAGTTTATGTTTAGAAATACAAAACTGACCAAATGTGATCAATGCTCACCCCCATCTTCCCCAGCCTAGCACAGTTTATAATTTACCTTTCCGTGGGGTCTGCAAAAACTGTCTCTGCCTCTGTTAGTTCCTCGCTCATACCATACAAATCTGTCAGCTGGCTAGGTTCTGTACAGAGGAGCACGCCCACCGAGGTGGGATGAAGGCGAGGTGGAGAGCCAAACTTCTTATATGTGAGACAGGGCTGTCTTGGGTCCATGTGATAGCCTCCTTTGCAGACCATACCACCAGATGGAGCCAGGGTGCAGTTTCTGTAGGTCGCCTTGACAACAGCTCCCTGTCACAGAGAAAAATATTGAAAGAATTTTGGAATGTTATCATCATTATAAACAGACAAAGTGGATTTTGGAAATGTTTATTAGAAAAATATTACAATATTATTATTTTAGCCAACTTGTTAAAGAATGATCAATCTCAATTTGGAGTTAATCAATTCAGAAATAATCAATTTTGGAATACATTAATCTACATAACATATACAGTACCTTATGCATGACAAACTGGAGATCGTATTCCTGGGGCATTGGATGAGGACAGTACTGGGTTAGAATGCTGCTATCACCGTAAAAAGCATCATTCTCGTTATTCCTGTCATGGCGGACAGCACGGAACTGAGGCAGCAAGTTGACCTCATTTACAGAGATCTGGATAGACAGGTCTGTACCTGAGGATTAAGAAAAATAATTAGGATATTTTTTTCTTTTGTGTACGCTAAAATGAAAATGTGTAAGTAAAATGGAAATATGGACCATTTCTGAATACAGAAAGCCAAATTTATTACTAGATCCAACATGTCTGGTCAATGTAAAAAGGGCCTAAGACAAACACATACCTCTACTCAAAGCGTAGGTTTTGGCTCCAGAGAACTGGCCCTCTTCCAGGTACCACAGTCTGGAACGCACACCAAAATTCCTGTTCTTGTCCTCATAGACTGTGTCTGGAGACAGCTGGGGGATCAGGGCATCTTTGGCTGATATAATAATAATAATAATAATAATAATAAAATATATAATAAAATAATAACTCAGTTTATTGTAGCTAAGACATCAGCGATACCTGGTGACAATCTACGCACAGACTGTTCATAATACAATGGTAAGGCCAAGATGTTTTAAAACACCAAATCTAAAATTAAAAACTGTCTATGACAGTGCAAATATCTGATTATGAATTTTTGTTTACTTTTATATTTGATAAGTTTTATCATAGCAATAACAGACAAAAATTACATCACAACTTTTTTATCTGAATGTATACCAGTATCTAACTCTTAGAACTGATAATCTCAGTTAAACAAGAAGACAACCACTAAACCTTTGTTACATTAAATTTTCATTATAAATTAATTCTGCTTTTCAGGTCAGTAAATGAAAAATACTTTCATACATATAACTACATTGCCATCTTGCTTACAACATCTGTTAACAAATTATCACAATGACAGTGACCATATTGCTTTTTCCTCAAGAAGGTTTTGACAAGTCACTGATGGTTGACCTTAAAGAATAATCTATTGAAAGAAATTGCCTAGATATTTTTAAGAATTTGTTTACATTATCTCATCTTACTATCTGATGATTTTCATAAAAAATGAAAATAAACAGTAGTACTTACGTTTACATACTCTGTCAGTCAAGTTTGTACAAGGTACAAATTCATACTCATCATCCTTACATTTAGGCAAACAAGCTGTAACAGATCACCAATTAATAAATCACATATAATAAATCAATATTATATCTTGTAAGCATGCATGTTGCCATGATTAAAAAAACAGCATAAAAACAGCATTAGCAATGCTTTGTAAAAGGAAATGTCAAAGTATGAATGTGCTTAAAACCAACAACAAAAAGGCCTTGCATAATGCATTATTTCAAAACTGACAAAAAACCATGCTGTTAATTTCAAAACCCATCAACCAGAGTTATAAATAAATAAATACAAATGGGGAAAACTTAAATCAATCAACATTATACAGTACTTTTTAAATATGACAGATCAAACAAAAAATCTTCCCAAAGCTAAATTTGTAAAATAATTGTCAGTGATGTAAAAAAAAAATCCCTAAAAATTTTGAGCAAACCACATGAAAAATCAGGTTTACTCAAATGCCCACAATTCTAACCAAGGGCCAATTTCTTTCTTCACAACTATTTTTTTTACTTAATTGGCTAAGAATGTTCCACCCAATTACCCTACTATTGTGTCAAGTTGTTTGCCGTGTTAGTCCATGACTAAACCAAATCTAAGAGAGATTAAACCCTAAAATGCACCTGACGTACCTAAAAAGACTTTTTCAACCACTGTGACACAATGAGTAAAAATTCACTCTTGACAATAAAAACTCTTTTTAAGAATTCAAGTCTGAAAGATGAGGTAAGCTACCCTTTTGATTGACTCAGAGTCTCAACTTAGCTTAGAATCTTAGGAAAGGTTTTTAACTCAAATTATTTTATATAAACAGGGCTCTGTAAAAGTTTCCAAGATAATTAAAATGTAATTTTATTCAAAAAAGGGCCCATTTTCTTTTTAGGCACTTATGGACCCAAGGCATTCAACAATAATATATGTATGGAAGCATTGCAACATTGGCTTCTTTCCCTCCAGTTTATTTGGATTTTCATCCCATGTGAAACTGAACTAAAAATAAACTGCATACTCAACCCTCCCCATATGAAACTAAACTGTAAATAAATGTGTCACCCCATGACTTACATTGGCACACCATGTCTTGTGTAGGGCTGCATGCAGAGTGTTTGAAGTGCCCTGATGGACACTGCTGCAAGCATGCTGCAAAAACATTGAATAAAAATCAAAATAAAGTCGTGTTTAGATGAGACTACTTTAGACCAAAGTTGTTCCAACTTGCATCATGAGGTTTTATTGTCGATATATTAAAAAAAAGTACACGCACTAAGGATCATGTCTGGTCTAAAATAGTCTTGGAGTAAACACGACTTAAGCCAACAACGCCCACGTTACAAGGCAGCAAGAAACAACAACAATAAAAAGATAAAAATAAAAAAAAAGAGAGAGAATGGTTTCCTCCTTAACTTGGTGCAATGTCACCCTGTGTTTCAGTATATCATTTTCATCATCAACTGGATATAATTTTCTATCATCAACATTTCACAAGTTAGATGACCGACAATCACCACTCTTATCCTTTTTCCATTCTTTTTTTTTTTTTTTTTGCAAATTTTATATGATATTAATGTATTATAGGATGTAAGTGACTTTTCAAATGCCCCCATTCACATCTTAAATATATTGAATCCTGTCAGTGGAAATTTTTTGGTAAGTGGATAAAAAGAATGCCCCTTTTAGACCTCTGAAACCCAGGGTTGGACATCGCACATATTTCGTATACATTAAGTGATAAACCATGCCAAAATCAAGCCAACACTTTTCCAATTAAAAATATTAAATTTTAAAATATGAAAGTGCAGCGTAAAATCATTGTGGCAATTAGTTTTTTAAATATGCACTGTCAAGTATTATATATTATTTATAAGCCAACAACTGACTTGGATCAAATCAGGTGTCTCACTATAAAACTACAAAAAATTGCATGTTATTTCTAATTTATCTACAGATTGAGGGCCAAAGTCCCTTACTGTAACAGTGGATAAGTTCTTGGGGACAGATTTTGTCAAATGTAATTAAGATATTTTGTACAATGATCAAAATGTAAAGAACATAATTCTCGGACAAAAAACAATCATTTATAAAAAAATAAAATAACAGAAGGGTTAAATTATTTAAGACATTTTTGAAAAAAAAATACAAGAACTGATACAAAATTACATGAATATACCAATCAAAAGCTGAAAACAGAATCATTTAAACACCATTATTGAGTTAGTTTCAAGGTTAAAATGTTAGTATACACTAGATTATGAACATCATGGTGAGATTGTTGTACACGTGCCACAAAACAATACAACTACTTGATATCTGAAACGTAGACAAAGATGTTAGTATTATAACTGTTAGAACTTCAACATGGAAACGCATTTCCAGAAACTACCAAGATTTTTGGAAGACACAAAATGCACACCTAGTCTGCACAAACTATCCATTAACATAAAAACTTCTTCAGAACACTCTCAGATTTAGTTGACTTTCCCACACCAAACAAAAACTAAGTATGATATTTAAACAGAACCCAAAGTCTTAGCATCAGGTAAAAACTGTTGAATTAATGAATCATGTCATAATATTTGATACCTAGGCTTCTTTTCTAAGGCAAATGTTATATTTGTTCAGAATGGAATTGTTTCATCACAGAAAAAAAATCAAAAGTGTTGTATATGTGACAAAATAGTACCATTTATCTATAACAGCAAGATCACAAAAAATACATCTCTTATTTTTCAAATAAAATTTTAGTTTTCAAGCAATATCTGTCAAAATATTCTGATAGTGTTCTGAAAAACTAAAACTCCCTTAAATCTGTCAACTAAAAATTAACAAAATAAAAAAAAAAGAAAAGAAAGGTAAATAATAAAGGAGACATAGTAACATAATGATAGTGGCACATATAGGGACCATCTCAATATTTCACAATTAGTGTCCTCCATACTATTTCCTAGTCTATGTTATTTAGCTGTGAGAGAAGGTATCTACAGTCATGGCTGACATGTGATACTGTGAGATGGTCCCAGAACTAAACCTGAAACTCCTAAACCACAGCCAACAGCTTTGCTACAACCCCAGATGGAAATGTTCAATTCTTTTTGGGATTAGGTATCAAATAAATTGCATTTTGACACAAATTTTACTGTTAAAAATCAATCGGATCTTTCTTTTATTATTACCAAGGGTTTTTTTTTTTAATGAATATATTTTGATATGTTCAAAAGATCAAAACAATTCATAAATTATTATAATGAATATCAATGAAACCATAATTTCAAAATGAAAATTTCTTGGAAATTTAAAAAAAAAAAAAAAAAAAAAAAAAATCAAACTTATTGTTAAGTTTCCTTTTGAAAAGGATAAGCAGTGTTTCTGTATGCTAACCCCATTTTCATTTTATTTTCAGTTTTGCCAAATCGGATGATAAATTACTGCAAACATGAAACAACATTTCCATCCAAGTTTAGACATTGTTGCCATGGATACAGTGCTGTACCTTGACATCGTGGTTGCATGGTGCCGTTACAAGGAGACGTACGATAAGATCCAGTGGGACAGGGAATACTGCATGCTGTAACCACGGAAACATAGACACAGGGGAAATATAATTATGGGATAGACTAACACTATCAATGTCTATGGATCATGGGATAGATCAACAGAAATATCTATTTTACTATTATTAAAGGATATACAACAATCTACTGGTATGATAATTACTGGTAAAGATTTCTATTATATCATTATCATTCTATACATAGAAAAAAGTGGGAAATATTTCTCAAGTCTGTAAAGTAAATCAGTTACTGGGTTTAGATATAAACGGATTGGTACTAACACTAGGCTGACAAAGTTCTACTATTGGATAGATTACAACAACAATCATATTGAAAAAATAAAAGGTACCTAAAAATTAGGGGACAGTTTAACAAGGTTTGACATGAAATGTATTACTACTCCTAGGTCATGTATAATGCTTCACATCATTTAGCTGTAAGTATTGTTGGAAAGGGAGATATGTAATCTACTTATCCTAGTGGGAAACGAACACAATTAGAGACATAAAATTTACAACACATGGACACCGAACATAAATCATTAATCTCACACATATTAACTTAAGTTAAGAGCTTTCAAAAACAGGCCATTTTGTTTCTAGAAAAATCTACCAAAGTCACATTCATTTCAGTTTTAAACATTTATCTAATAATCCTGAAATACAACTTTTTTCTCTATCATTCAGTTTACTGAATTAAACCATGAAGATTACTTTAATGCATTTATTATTTTAAAAATCAAATTTGGAAAAGTGGGGAAACTTTTTTTAACTGATCAAAACCCTAGGCTAAGATATTATATACAGAATATACTGTTGAGAATGAAAATGGCCATAATGATAAATGTTGCATTTTCTGGGATTTCACCTGGTCCTAAGTAATGCCAATAATGTAAAAATATTCTGATACTATTACCCACAACTAAAACTCTCTAATATGTAGACTTAAAATTAACTGTAAAAAATTCATTTTTTCCTAGAATAATATACTGATCTAAAAACTGCCAATTACCACTTCTTTATGGCAGAATAAATATCACATTACATAATGTTTTCTTCATTCAAGCAATGCCATTTGTCGTCAAGAGCTAGCATCATAATGACTTCCCTTGAAAAGGAAATTTTGATCAGCAGAATATGTGTCAAAAATCAAATGACTTGTCTAATTATTCCAAATAATGAAAACAGTGACTTCAAAATCATCAAACAATGAACTGTAAAACTAAATATTCTGTGAATGTGGTAAAATACATGCTCTCTGTGCATTTTGGCATATGAGGTGATGAACTGCAAATGTAATTATTAACTTTAAATTTTCAATTATTACAGCAATATATACAAGTGAACTTTTAATTAAAGAATCTTTCTTTGGTCAACTCGAAACAAATTCAAACAATCTAGTACCTTTACCTTTAAACTGTTAAACATATCACAGTCAATATGTTTACTTGTGATTGCACATATGAGGTATCTGTACATATAACAATTACTAGAGCAGATTCTTTTAATAAAAATTACCCACAAATATATACACTTCGAACAATGAACTAGACACTATCCTACACATCAATATGTATATAACTAACAGGAAAACTTAAATATCATATCTGTGGCCATATAAAATATATCCAAAAACATCATAGTCTTTTGTTTCTAACAGATACCAGGCAACTGTGACAATTCTATTAAACTATGCCCCATTTATAAGTTATTATAAATAATGATAAAAGTTGCACTGAATTTAAAGAATCATTAAAAATAAGTAAATGAAATAAACAAATTACTAATAAATCTATAATTTAAAAACGTAAACTTTGTAAATTTGTTATTTGTGCCACAAGATATGATATTTTCATCCCTAACTCCAGTACAAAATTTGAACCCATATTTATCAAATTCAGATGTGAAATTCTATTAGATAAGAACAACTATTCAACAAACCCAGCAATATAACCTTATGTTTGAAATCAATGATTAAAAATACTATAAATCCACTGTAGAACTTACATAATTGTTTGAGATGTTATCACATAGCCATTATGTAAGTTCTACATATTTAAGTCTTCACAAAAATCAAATCCACCTATTTAAAGATTAGGACCTCTAACTCCACAAGTGAAAATTAATCTCACTACCACCCCATGCCACATGTTATCTCAACATTTTAACAAATTATCCCAAAAACCACTAAAACCGTAGGTTATTAATTATGAAATACACCATGCCAAGGCATAAAACCCAGCAGAAACATGACCGTCACCTAAAAACCAAACTGTTATATAACCACCATCAAAAAGATCCCGTAAAACCACAAAGAACTATTAATTACAGTTTGCAGTAACACCACAAAATGCCAATGGTCACCCCTGTGTGAGTATACTTACGTGTGCATGAAAGTCCATCACCGTGAAAGCCCTCAAGACAGATGCACTTGTAGCCGCCATTAGTGTTACGACATACAGCATCCTGATGGCAGAGTTGGCCCAGTTCAATACACTCACTTATATCTGGAATCAGAGTTAATAGTGGTAAGGCTTTTCTTATTTCAAAGCCATCTTTTTTCTTGAGATGTGAAAAAATGGACATCTTCTGTGGTGGGAGAAAAAAATAAAAATTATGTGGAAAGGCAGTATGTGATAAAATGATTTTTTCAGTCAACTGTTTGACAGTTTGACTTTTTATTTTTCACAATTTTAATCTACAAAATTAAAATAGAGACCATAACCACTTTAACAACTTAAAAATGTCTGAAAAATATATAATCTATGTCAAGGACTCTCCCTTGCTATATGTGTGTACTTTACCAGTACAAATTCCATTTTCCATTGGCCTAAAGCCTCGGCGACAGATACAGGAGCCTGTTTTGACATCACATTTGTCGGCACAGCGTATCCCATGACATCGGCTAGAGGAAATGTCTGAGAGGTATGGATCATCAACATCTGGAAAAATGTCATCTTTTTCTTTTCAGCAACTGTGCTTTATAAATGAACTTGTAAAATATAAATTATCAGTAAATACCAGATAATTAAACTGCACAATGCAAAATTTGTGGTTTCTGTTCTTCCCCCTTTTTTTTTTATTAACAAAATACCCTGCTTACCATAAATATTTATCTCTGTGTGATCCATGCCATTGACCAGTTCCACGCGATTCTCTATTTTAGCATAAACTGCTGATCCTTTCGAAATGAAGTGTGCAGGCATGTAGATCTTGATTTGGACACGAGTTTCATCCTGGAACTTATTACAACAAACCCCGGTGACGAGGCCTAGAACGCTGATCACAGCCAGGGTGGTCAAATGGAGCCTAAAAGTGAAAATGATAAACAAAAATTATTAGGCAAAAAACATATGTTGATACATTGGTACACAACCAGTCTTTGCATGATTTTCAAGTTTCACTTTGTCACATCCACAATTAAAATTTTTTGCTGAACAATTTTCATAAAAAATTCAAATTGACTGATTTAATAATGAACTTAATATGGTACATATTCCCTTTACAAAATAAGAAGATCACCTATTTAAGTAAAGAGCATATTTTTTATCACCAAATATATATGCAGTTTAGTTTTTCTCCTTATTTCAAAATTGACATCAAGGTAACTATAATCAAAATAAGTCTTAAAACATATTGCTACAAAACAAAAGTTCTAGAATCTGATCACTATTATACATCACCAATATCTATATAAAATTATGCAAAAATGAAAAAATAAATAAATAAAAATATATAACATATGCCAAATATGCATAAAATGCACAATTTGTCAATCATATAACTAGCAATAAACTACTCCTAGGTGTCAACTGTGTCCACATTCCACTCCCTAGGTGTCGCTACTAGCTATTTTCGTGTGCCTAGCCCTATTGTGCATGCAGGTGATCTGAACACAAAGGTTGAGGCCAATTGGCAATGCATTTGAAAAATTTTGTCTAATTGATAGATATAAAGAATGCATTTACAAGAAGATGGTTGGAATTTTTCTACAGAATTTAGAATATATATAAAATTTGTACTGATCTTCAGAGATTTTTTTTACATTAAAACATTAACTTTAAAAAAGGGTAAAAACTATGAAAGATCTATAAAATATATTTCTAAACTTCATACCTAAGAATTATTCAATGTCATTGCCAAAAAAAAGAGACCCATAAAAACCTCTGTCTAATGCGGTGACGTGTAATGAAAAAAGAACACAAGTGACTGCATAGTGAAAGCTGCGCTGCAATCCCATGTAGGATAAAGGTCAAAGATCAGGCAGTATCACACCGCATAATGCTGTTCACTGCAACGCCAAAAATGCCCAATCACCACGGCAACCCAGCACCACGTCACTCAGCAACAGTACCTTTTTTGGGCAGGTCCGCCACCCCCACCTCCTTCACCTCTTCCGCCACCACTAGATGTCCTACCAATTGCCTTATTTTTGCCATCCTCTGGCAGAATTCTCATTTCATCTGAAAGATTTCCATTAACAGGTTCATGATTATCACCTCCATTAATATGTCTTGGCCTATGAACCTTAGAGTCAGCTTTTGTCTGTGCTGCCGCAAATCTCTTGATCAGCTCATTATTGTTATTGCGATGCCTCGTCTCTGGGGAGTGAAGGCCCTTGTCCCAAGGGGCATCCTGCACAGGGGTTGTTGGGGTTCCCTTGGGGGTGGTGGGTGTTCCCTTTGGGGTATCAGCTGTTACTATAGTAACCACACTTTCACTGCTGCTGCCTGTCCCTGTGCTACTAGCAACACTACGGCTCAGCGCTTTCAATTCCACCCCAATGGGAAGTCTGGCCAATTTCCAAGATGGCCGTCGGCCAGATGGTGAATGAGGAGGGACGTAAGTGTGTCTGGTTGTACTGGGACTTCTCATTGGCTCCCGCATTAGTGGCAAGTACAAGTCCCGGGCATCAATCCGTTTTCCTTCTTGGATTTCCGAACTCTCTTCACTGAGGGCCCTGGCTAGTGCCCTTTCTCTTTCCTCATTGCTGAGATTGTCTGCCAAGTTCATTTGACTGCTGGGCAGAAGAATATCATCGAAAAGCGCCATATCATCATCTTCTGGGTCAAAGGTCACAGGGGTATCATCCACCATGTCATGGAGGCCGTAGTCAAAATCTGAGTCCCATGACAACTCGTCAGCGCCAAGGCCTTTTCGTGTATGACGCGGGGTACCACTACCTGTGTCATCGCTGCTGAGAGTTTTCCTTTGTGACACGCTACTACTGCTGTGGTCCGAGTCAGGCTCAGAGCTGACAATGGCGCTAAGCCTCTTCATGTCAGTGTCGCTATCACTCAAGGTCTGTGAAGGCTCACAAAGCAGCTGGTTGGTTGGATGTGGATGTTCCACCGTGATTTTAACAGGGTGCTTTTCTCTCTCCCCGGCAAGATTCCCCACTCCCCGATTCTCCTTTCCCCTCCCATCATTCTTTAATGCAGCTGATGCTCTTTCCATAGCAACAGGACTGCTCTCCTGTGACTGGAGTTTACTATGTGAAACTGACCTTGATTTTTGACCTTTCAACCTCTGATAAGAAGCTGACCTTTTCACTGAGTGTGTGCTCCTTGTAGAACTCGTAGCTTCTCCGTCTGAAGATGCTGCATCGTCACCTGAAGATTTGGATGGGCGGGACCTTGGTCGCCTCTTCTTGGTTGGAGTCTGTAAATGCAATAAAAAACATGACCAGTCTACTATAAAGTTGCAAATAAATGAGGAATTTTCCTTTCTCTTTATGAAAATGTCTGACAAAAACATCATAATTTGAAAACGAACTATAACAAAATACGATTTATAGAAAAAATTCAAGCAATTTTACAGTGTTTAGGTGTTACCTTAGCTTCAAGTATCTTACTGTAAAAAGATCATGTCACCAACTCCTATACCAAATACTCACAGAGTTTAAAGATACGACCACTTCTATCCTGTTTGGGTTTTCACTCTTGTTTTTACGCGCTCGTACCACTAGGGGAACCTGCGTCTCACCTGAAAAATTAACCAAACATATTAAGATACCTAATATGGTCTACCTCTAGTTCAATTTTCATGTTAAATTAGCTGAAATGCTGATAAATTTTATGGAACATATAAGGTAGGCAATTTACTTGCCATGTTTCTATCATCAAATTGTTTATGTTATATTGTTTAGCTGAACAGTTAACTGAACACTACTTATCCCATCTCTAAAAATATTAATTTCTTTCAAGTGAAATACATATAAAAACCATGTACAGAACACTTAAATTCTCTCACATCCAGTATTACTTTTAAAACTACATAAATAACAGGTTTTCAATAATGTACCAAACAGCCCACACAATAAAAATGAAACCCTTCGACTGCTTCTTGTCATCAATATCTCATTCTTATTTTTCGTGGCAGCAGAGGCACATAATACGAAAACGCCCGGCAAATCTCAAGAAATTTACCATCCACTTCTTCATCTTCCTCATCTTCTTCTTCTTCCTCTGTCAGTTCAAAGTCTTCTTCCTCAACATTTTCAAATACTGCAGGGGCCTCCTGAGAAAGTTTTCTTACCAATCTAGCTTGTTTAGCTTGCTTATACTTTTGTGTGTACACTGCTTTAAGTTGCTCATCAGCAAGTCGGGCCAGTTCGAGGTGGCCCCTTCTTTGCTCAAGGCCCCCCTCAATGTGGGGGCGACCAATTTGGGTATTTTTTACACCTCCCTCATTTAAATCATGGTTTATACTACTAATCTGTTGGCGCAGATCAGCAATTTGTTCAATTTTTTTCATCTTTTTCAAACGTTGTTCTAAAACAATCTTCTGTAATTGAAGTCTTTCAAGTTCATGCGATACATCAAGGTCAAGGTCAGATTGGTCATATGCATCCCTATTGGTCTCTTTTAGCTTTGAATGCTGGGAAGGTCCATTGGAAGCAAGATGTGGGTGTGATATTTGGGATATGGTTATTTTAGGCGTGGGGGCTGCAAGAACAGAATACATGAACTGCACTCAAATAAAAGAAAGATTTGGTACTAAATATATATCATATCAGAAAATATTGGGAGAGAATTACAAAACAAACTAATAGCTACCATTATAACATGTAAAAACTATGCTTACTTTAAAGTAAACTTAACAAAATTAAACAAAACAAATCATCAAAAATTCTTAAATTTCTAAGAATTAAAAAGAAACTGAACAATAAACTGAAATTATTCTCAACATTAAACATAAGATAAAAGGATAACGGAACTTATTACAATCATCATGCTTTATAAAGCTCATAATTTCAACATATGTATCAAGTGTTACAACATAGTTAAACTGTTGACAAAAAGTGAATCAAACTCAAAGCAAAACTGCCATAGTGAAACAAAAAAGTGAAAAGTAAACAAAAGTGAAAAACAAACAAAGCAGTGCATTTCTTGTTTAAAAAAACAAAAACAAAATCAAAACAGAAAAATCAATGTTTGACAAATTAATACCACATGCTCTGAACATCTATCATCTTTCATTTCTTAATCGATGCAGCTTCAATGTCTGATGATAACAATTTCAAAAATGCTACGAGACTGTGGTAGCAGAGCATATTGCATTGGACACTAACAGTAATGCTTCAAACCTCAACAAATGACAGTGTTGTACAACGGATTAACCCTAATTCCCACCCCTATCCCAAATAATGCAAACATTCACAACCATAACACAGAATTAACAACACACTGTGGTATTATATAAAGCATACAATATATTATACAACTGGCTACCCTGGTGATTAATTATTATCGCAAAGGAACAATGTATGAAACATTTTTAGGACTTGATCCATAAATTTTTAAAAAGTGTTTGGTTCAAGCAATATGGTTATCAGAAAATCCAGCATATCCACATTTTCATTGTGATTATGTTAAAATCTAAAGTGTTTACAGTTCAAACCAGCAGCTTAACTGATATCATAGAAATCAGACAGGTGTCAGCCCAGCAATAATCTACTTGAATAACTGCAGTCTGTGCCTCCAATTGTGTTTGCTGTAGCATCAATTTTATGAGTAAAACGTTACTTTAACTTTCAACGTGATCAAGTCTTTGAGGTGACGCTGTGAGCAGTTTTGGTTTGTAGGAGGGAAAGTTGTGACACTGCAGTAGATGTGACAGTGTTTTTGAGTAAAACTGTGTGGTATAACTGTGTGATAAAACTTTGTACAGGGTGCAAATAAATCACTCACCAAATAAAAATCAATATAAATGCTTTTTTGCTCCAGCAAGAACTCTGACAGATCTACCAAGCTAAATTGGTCAGTTTTTTCACTTTAAAAATTAATTTTGGTCTACCTGTCAAAGCTCAGCTTGGCAAGTGATGACATCCATCCTGTGCTGCACCCTGGTGTTACGTTTGGCACACAAAATATATCCACATGTACAGTGGGAAACATCAAAGCTTCACACAATATCAGTACTCCTTTTTGTCTGTGACAGAAAAAGAAAGCTAAAAACCAAACATGTACTTACGCAACTTCTTGATATAGTTTGTCCTCTCGTACTTCAACCAGTATGCCACATATCCCAGCATTCCCAGAAACACCATGAGGCACACCACACAGATGACGATAATAATGATCACTATGATGCTTGAATTATCTTCTGGTAGTAGGTTTTGATGCTGAGGAGCAAAGAAAAAAATAAAGGGAGGGGTCTGATTTAGAATGGTACCACAAGAAGAAAATTGTTTTTATCCATATAGTTATTTTAAGTTCTAGATGGTTAAAAAGTACAAAATGAACTTTCAAGTTCTACAAAATATATAATGTGTTTTTCAATTGGAAATTACTTCAAGGCACACACGGTATACCAAACACACCATTCAACACCATGAATAATTCCATAATAAGTCAGGAAAATAAAATAACAGCAATAACTGCCATTACAAAAATTTCCAAAACACTGTTTCTGTCTTATATCTCACCACTTGCAGCAACAACTCTCCATCCATGTAATTGTAGCTATACTGAACTCCCGCCAATTCTTCCATAGAGGGCGCACTTGCATTGACCAAAATGGCAAAATCTGAACTATCCACAAACTCCACTGCACCCTGTAATGTAAAAGGGAGAAAAATAAAATACCAACAAACTTTTTTTAATTTATGAGTTAAATTCTAGTGGATTATTGTGTTAAAGTGCAAAAAAAAAAAAAAAAAAAAAAAAGAGAGAACTTAAAGAAAGGGAACAAATGATGGTATCAAAATCTAATGATCTCCTTTTAGCATTGCTGAAGAAATAAAAAAAACATGGCAATGACCATCATAACAAAAAAGATATTTGTTACAAATACAAAAAGTATCATCTTATTTAAGCATTCTATCCTATAAACAACAATTACAAAAACACTGGATGTTTTTGTTGAAAAATCTATTTATCTGTTAACTGAGAAAAAAATTCTACTAAGTTTCTACTAATATCATTATTTATATCTAAGTGAAATGAAGCAAATTTACTAAATACATAAAACACAAAACATATTCCATTCAAATGATTGCAGATGAATTCTTTAATTTCTAAACCAATCAAAAGAGGGCAGCACTTACAACATGCCCTCATTCATATCATCAAAAGGTGGCAGTATTGTCCCCCCAACTACAACACCCCCTTTTTCAATTTAAAAGCCTTATCAACTGAATAAAACATGCTTAGCACACAAAACCAACAGCCCTAAACTACCCCGGCTTGTTTAGTTTGGGTATTGGATTTCACATTTGTTGTTTACTATTACGTTAAATAAACCATAAAAGACCTGAATCAACAAGTCAACTAAAAGCCACCCAGGGATCTGAAGAAAGGACGTCTGCGTCTCAACGTAAAAGACTTCGACTAAAATCAATGTCTTTCAATAATTGCGCCAAGGAAAAAAGTCAAAGGTTACACACGTGGATGATTGTAACCATGATTTTCTTTAATAAGCTTGGGTTCAGAAAGGTAGAGGCGTTATTGTCATACACACACTAGCATTCCATATTTAATATGCAGCTAATCATTTAGATGTCAAATACCATTATGCCCTTTTTTAGCAGGTAATTTGACTATACACATGTGTGTGGCTTGTTAGAAGGCAGACAGGTTAACACGCTGCGGGTGTACAGATCATGTTCTGAATCTTTGATCTCGTCCAGAATCGAGCTTAATATCTTTGTAATATGCTAAGAAAAGCGCTGTAGTTCTTTTTCTTTTTAGAATTGGTGATTAGTTTACTTGAAAGTTTTACAAACTGAGTTAAAGATTTCGAAACCTTTGTTACAAATTCATGCCTCTTTTGAATGCAATTCTGAATTGACTGTAATGGTTGCGTTTCACTCATGTCACTTTATCACGATATTCTGATTAATTCTAAGGCTTGAGATTAATCTTTTCATAATTGAAATAAACAAAACTTTACTGAACCTTTTTTATATATTCAAGCCATTTGTTTATTACCAAATTAAGCCACAGTTCAGTCCTCATGACAGTGTCATTTAACTTGATGAGCACTTCAAATGATATTTTCCTCTTAAAACTTTAAAGTTAGTATCTTAATTTCCACCGCAATCCTCACAAGGCAATGACGTACAATTGGCTTTTTTATTTGTAATTATCATGGTATGCATAGAGAAGTAATATAAAGAAAAAAAACTAACCACAGGGGAGTTATCAAGGAGATAAAAACTTTCAAAGGACCCTTCCATCTTATATTAAAACAGTTACAACATCTCATTTCCCCAAGTCTTTGTTACAAAGTAGCAGAACTGTCTAATTTACATGCAGGTGTGTGTGTACAGTGGAGAGAGATCCAAACAGGTAGGCCGCCTGGAATATTTACACAGCATTATTGACAGAGTGTTATATGTTCCAAATTCCTTTCATGTCTTTGTTGCTCAGCCCCCAATACGGTAAGGTCACAAAGTCATTTATTGAGCAATTATATGATAATGCTGTTAATGGCAGGGTAAATTGTGCGGCTCTCCTGCTTCCGGAGCTTCCAAACTTGACCAATTTGTAGTTGTGTAGAATTTCAGATTTAATAATCCTTTTGGCATATATTAAGAGCGGAGTTTTCTGGGTAACCATGGAGGGTGAAATCTTAGAGTTTGTATCCTCGGGGAGATAACAGTGTGGGATAGAGTGGTACATGCTCTCAATTTTAACGCGGGTACAAGTACATGATGAGAGAGAGAGAGAGAGAGAGAGAGAGAGAGAGAGAGAGAGAGAGAGAGAGAGAGAACAAAAAATATTTCCCCTTGAGTCTGATTTACTTCTTCAAGATAGCTAATTCCCAGCTGTTTTAATACCAACACAGTAATAATATTTTTATAGCAATCTTAAATGATTCAGGTTTTATGGCAAAAAGGTAACATAATTTGCTATGTATAAGTATCTCATGCCCATCTTACACCTGTTTCTTCATTAAAACTGTTTACACACAAAAAAGACCTGTAAATCTCTAAAATTAGTCTACATATTCTTTTCAACCCTTAAAGAGAACGCGGAATGCACAACAAAACTGGTTTGCCATCAAAATTGCCTTCAAATATGACTTTTGTCAAGCTTTAATCAGGTGTATGTCCTACACAGCTTAAACCCCTTTTGCTGTTCACCTCGAAAATATCTTTACAAAATACTTAATCATGCCTCCCTTTTCTGTCACTTTAGATCTTAGAAAACAACAGGTGATTCTTGGAGCATCGCAGCTGACGCTATAATTTGTTTGGGTGCCCCGTGTCAACAACACTACTTTCAGATCACATTAGCCCTCATTTTATGCTTTCACTCAAGCCAGCTGTTAAAAAACATTTCCATCGGCAAATTGGTACAAACCAAAGAAGAATTTGATTACTTAACCACTGTATATCCTATGTAGGTAATAAAAATGTTATATATAATAAGGTATATTCACTTTACACAAGTTTTGCTTTATTTTAAAACATTGAAATAAAACAAAAGTGTCAGCCAAGCAGAAATCCACCTGAAAAAAGTGGCAGCTGCAGTTCTGTTTGCTATGACCAAACAGTAAGAGTTTAGTTGGTTGTCAGTGTGAGTAAATCCTATGTTTTGAACTCTATGGTTCTAAATGCTTTTCAGAACCACAAAGTTCAGATGAGAGTTCCAAAATTGCTACTTCCAACAAATGGCCGTGAAACAAATGTCAACCAACAGTGCACCGGTGTAAGATCAGATCACAAAGTATCGGGGGAAAAAAAGGGACAAAGAAATGAGTTGCACCTTAGACTGCCACCGATTTAATATTTTTACAACACCTGTAGCTCGACATAGAAAAGGGCATACACAGGTGTTGCTCACCGTGTGACATGGGTGACCCCCGTAAGATGCCACTTCGTGATGGGAAATAAAAGACTCGGCAAATATGGCATTGAAGGGGGGCCACCAGTATAATCACAAACCTTCAGAGGACAGACACACCGTTTAACTGTGCAATTTACCGAGTATTTAAAATCAAGGCCCACAAAAGTAAAACTGGCACTCTGCATTCACTGGTGTTTGTCTAAAGCTCTTCTATAACTTAATAACATTTAATGAACAATTCTATTGCCGAGCCGGTGTGTTTATCCTGTAAACAGAAGAAACTAAGACCATGTCGTTTCAACAGGAACACATATATCCATTTCAAATGAAATCAAAACACTGCACTGCATATCAAACTTCTATAAAGAAGCCTGCAGTGGGGCCTTCTTTATAGGTGTGTGAACCTGCCATGTGTGCCTACTTCTATAATATCTCACCTAGAGAGAGAGAGAGAGAGAGAAACAGAGACAGAGATCGAGGGGAGATATTGGGGGGGAGAGAGAGAAAAGAAAGGAAGGAAAGAAGAAGAAGAGAGTCAGAGAGAGAGCAGTGTTAAGTTATAAGTGAAAAACTCTGAATCAAAACCATTAAAGAAAACTCATCAGCACAGTTATACCATCATTTCTACCCTTTTATATATATTATCATTTCAACACAGGTGCCTCAAATATGGTATGTACAGGTGAGTCAAAATAATGACTCTTCTTAGTCCTTCAATTAGGTCAATTGACCGCCACCCCCCACCTGACACACCTATCAACTGACACCACATCCTTACAATTCAGGGTCTAAAATGGAAAAATAATTGGGTCTGGTGTGTTTGAAAAAATAAGCATAAAAAAGATGGCTGCCTTTGAGGTTGACAATGTCTGTTGTCCCAGGGAAACTTAAGCCATGGGGGCGTTGGCATGTTTGTCAATTTAACGTTGTTTTTTCTGTCTCAGGTTTCTGTTCAGTGGAAGATGTCAAGTTTAGAAAGTCGTATAATAAAGTGCATCTGCAGTTGACAGTTTCACACAAGAACTTTGGACAAAAAGCTGTTCTCAAATATTAGACCAAAATCTCCGTTTTTACTTTCATAAATTTTCTGTGCTTTAAAATATCAAGTTGCCATAAATAAAACTGAAACTCTGTGATATAAGCCTAGTTGAGAGGAATCTATTTTCACTCAGTGCACACTATATATTCTGATCAATTAAAAGTTCAGTTCTTTCATTCATATTTTAAACTGAAAATCAAGAAAGAGAGAAAAAACCAAATGCAATTGTTATCATAGGACTTAATTGGGTTTTACCCCACAAATCAAAAATCTTGGAAGCGTGGCAGGTCACATCATAAGTCCACAGCACTTCGGGAAATTTACCCACTTTCATTTATCCCCATTCATTGCCATCTATTTCTCAAATTATCTGAAATTCTGAAGTGTGCCATGTCACGTAATAGCTGTGCTCCTAACAATCTGAAATGATCGCACTTAAATACCCGGAGAGCAGAGTTATTCACGCTCCCAACAATTGCCAACTCTTAACCTGACATTTTTGCTCATGAAGTACCTCAGCTAACAACCCAGTGTACAAAGAAACCCTCCTCAAAAGATTTAAGCTTCCGTAAAATTTTACCCAACGGGAGGCGTGGTATCTTAAGCTATTAGCTTTGTCCAAGAGACTCCCTCTTCCTAAAAAATATTGAAATCATCGACATATGAACTACAAGATCATGTAATGCTAGAAGACATCTTCTAACAATTTCACTGGGATGTAAA